AAAAAAAAAAAAAAAAAGATCACTCAAGCATGTCGCATTTACTGAGCATCTACTAGAAGTCAGGGACTGTCACTACTGGAAAACAGAATTGAACAACACAGGCACAGGCTAGTTGTGGGGTTTAAGGACTTTTGTGGGACAGGCACGTCCTGAAACTTAACTATGGAGACCTGGCTGGCCCCCTCGGTGGTGGAGTGGTAGGACTGCAGGCATGCAACACCACATGTAACTTGGAACTTATACTTTAAATGCAGAAAACCTAAGAAATATACACATGTCACGTAATGCTAAGACATACAAATACGTAAGTGTACAGTGAGAGTGGTGTATAGAAGAGTGGTCCCAAGCCCACGTTAGAAAAGAAAGGCTCTGAAAGGAAGGGGGATTTATTAGGAAAGGACCTGCATAAAGCGGGTAGGTGAGTCAAGCAAAGACCTGGGAAGAGTTCAGAGCAAAAAAACCCCACCAACCAACCAAACAAACAAACAAAAAACCAAAAAGACCACCAGTGAAGTGTGTGCTGGAGGAACTACTAAAAAGACAGTGATGGAGCAGAACAGAAAGCAAGGCGTGAGAAAAGCCTGGGAGTGTGGAAAAGTGCCTAGACGTCATTCTGAACATGATGGGACGTCAATGAAGAGCATGATGTCACATGTTTGCTTTTGTAAAGTCTTTCACTAGCCCGTAAAGAACTTATTTGAAGAGAAATAGAAGGCAAGAAGACATGTCAGCAGGTGGGATTTGGTAAATTGGTAACAAATTTAAATTTAAAAACACAAATGCAAAGCTAAGAAAGGGAGATTCGAAAGTCATCTCTTTCGGGATGAAAGTTCTGAGAATTGATCTAATCCCTAATCAAACAACATACAAAAAAATTCTAGCTGAGAGATTGAGGAAAGAGGATCAAATATGAGGCCAATCTGGGCAATGTAGTGAGACTCCTGTCTCAGGAAAAAAGTCAAAAGAAGAGAGGCATGGCTACAGATCAGTGATAAAATGCTCACTTAGCACATACAAAGCCCTAGGATCAATTCCCAGTAGGGAAACCAGGAAAAGAAGCAGAGTCAGCAGAAGAAAATGAGGGGTGAAGGGAAGAAGCCAAAAGCAGTTTCAGAAAACAACAATATCATGTAGCTGGAGAGACAACTCAGTGGTTAAGAGTGCTTAATTCTCTTCCAGAGGACCCGAGTTCAGTTCCAGAGCAACCGTGTCAGGAAACCTACAACCACCTGTTAACTCTAATTCTGAGGGATCCAATGCCCTCTTCTGGCGTCCATGGGTACCGACCTACACACATACATACACATACACACATACACACATACACACACACACACACACACACACACACGTCTCATACAAAAATAAGCAACAATATCAAACACTATAGAATGAATGAAGAGGTAATGTCAATAAACCTATGAATTTTATGATTTCAGGAAACTTGAAAATGTTTGCTGAGAGAGTAGCATTCATGTTTTAGTCTCTAACTGAGATACCCAAAAGAGAACTCTTGATTTAGGAAAGTTATCCAGGTGGGCCTAGCCTAATAACAAAACATCAACGATGGAGAAGAGATGTTTAAGTTAAAGACAGAAGCACATGGTGACAGCAAATGTACATGTTATGAAAGACCTCTAAGTGCCTTGTGGCAAAAAACTGCTAGCCAGTTCTAAAAGCTGAGAGCAGCTGTCTTCAAGAACAGGAAGACAACGGCGACTTTAATACAACACCTGAAGGGGCTTTAATCTTGCTAAGTATGAGTTTGGAGAAAAAGGAAAAAGAACTTATCTTCACATGAGACTCACAATAATGGCTAATACTTCTTAAAGCTTTGGATGACTAAGCTGAAGCCCTACAACACTAATGTCTAGATTACAACAAAAAACATTGTACGATAATCAATGGGGGTGTTGTTACATGCTGCTTAATGTGTACTGTTTGATAAATACCAACAGAAAACTAACACGAGTCTCATTTCCCTATGCAAGAACCTGATGGACAGGGACGGAAGCGGTGGTGTCGCACAACTTTAATCCCAGCACTAGGGAAGCAGAGGCAGGCGAATCTGAGTTCCAGGACCGCCAAGGCTACACAGAGAAACCCTGTCTGGAAAAACCAAAAACAAAACCACTTAACTTCTATCATCTCTAGAGGACCCAGTTATCCAATTACTGCTCGGATCGCAGCATTTTTCTCACCTTTCGTCAAAGCACTAATTTCCTGATATGAGCAATGGAAACAGGGGTTTTATTGTCAACGGTAGAAGTTATATTAATATTTATGAAAATTTAAAAAAAAAAACACGCAAAACAGGTTGCCTAAGATCCCTGAATGCCAGGCACGGTTCCAAGGGCTTAGAGACACTGATCCCCAAACTAATCTTAGAAATGAGCACAAGGTCATGACTCTGTCCTTCCTCAAGCACCATAAGTTTAAGCTCCAGAAACGAAAAATCTTTCACTTTTTATTGTAAAGTAAGAATAGCTCAAAGGTGCTGTCGACTACAAAGACAAAAGCTACCCATCCAGGTTAATTGCAACCTTGACCCCTAAACCGCAGGCTCTCCACCAGTCCAGGAATACGCTTATTAAAGATGCAACAAGCCCTGAGAAGCAATCCCTGCTGGGAATTGTAGTTCTCCCGCCCCGACCCTCACGATTGGAAACCGATCACGTGCCCAACCGGCGACCCAAGACGCCAGCGGCCAGGATTGGTCCGAGACCGAATCAACGAGATCCTGATTGGACCCCAGGCCCCTGAAGCCACGCCTCGGCAGCACAGCCGCCTCCCCGCGAGCGCTCCACACCCCAGCCCGCTTCTCCAGCAATGAGGCTCCGGTCATTCCAGCCGAGCGGCCGCCCTAGTGAGCCGCCTCGGCTTCCCGCCCCGTGGCCCTCGGCGCGCCTCTGCCCGGGGACCGCGCATCATGGATGCCTCTCCCGCTGTCCGTTGGCAGTCTGCAGTCGGCGTGACCACGCGCCCCCTCGGGGAGACCCCCCACGCTCACCTGCGCCGCGACGGTCACGCCAGATAACTGACAGGCCCGCAGCATCTCGGCCGAAGGGACGGCGCTGCTGGTGGACGCGGGAACGACCGCGGCGGCACGAGAGGAGGGCGTGCGTGCTAGCGTGCGTGCCCGCGTCCGTACGCCCTGTCTGCGCCCTGCGCACCGGAAGGGCCGCCGACGCCACTGCGCACGCGCCGCCGCCTTCCCTGGGCCCGACGAGGCGGCTCCCGGAGGGTGGGCCTCGCCTCGGCGGCGAAAAGCAGAGCCCGGCGGTGATTGGCGAGTAGGAGGCGGAAGGGCGGGTTCTCCTTCCGGGTCGCGCTAGGCGCTAATGTGTCTAAGAAATGGGGTTACTAGGTGAGCCCGCAGGGAGAGTGGGGTGTGGAGTTCGACTAGGCGGAAAACGGACTGCCATGACTCTTAGAATTAAAGCAAAGGGGACTCGGGCAGGGACGCTTGCTCCCAACCCTGCGACGCGAGTTCGATCCCCGGGATCCGTATGGTGGCAATAGAGAATCGACTCGTGCTAATTGTCCTCTGACCTCTATGGAGCTGTGGTGTACGCATGCCCACAGGTTTTTTGTTTTCAGGGGGTTGCTGGAGAATGGGTGAAAGGACTGGAGGCATCTTGGGGCAGAGTATGTGTTCCTGGTGTCTCTTTCAATAGTAGAGGACGGATAGGAACCCAGATTCTAAGTTCTGGTTTTTACTTAAATCACACCGCTTTCTCTGTCACTTTTATTTTACAAAGATGATTTTGGTCACAGTCCTTGGGATGGGTTGAAAGACTATCCCAAGCACTCTTGAGATTGTAGTCATCATATAGTGTGTTAAATCCTGACCATCGGTAATACTCAGTGTAAACCCCAGTATAATTATGTATGTGGTTATTTTACCATGGTAACAAAAAAAGTTATTTAAAAATCTGAGGCTGGGCGTAGTGGTGCACGCCTTTAGTCCCAGTACTAGGGAGGCAGAAGCAGGTGGATCTCTTTGAGTTCAAGGCCAGCCTGGTCTACATAGTTCCACGACAGCCAGAGCTACATGGTGAGATCCTATTTCTAAAAACAAATCTGTTTGCAAAATACTTTGAAGTTAAGTGATTTGTTAAAACATGGTACAGGTTGGTTGCACTTTTATTCTTTTTTCTAATATAGAGAAATGAAGTCCAATGTGGTGGTCCACACCTGTAACACCAGCACTTGGGAGATTGATACAGGATTGGGCTACAACGATTCTCAAAAGGGAAAGAGGGTTGGGGGGAGGGGGGAATCTGTGGATGGTATGTGGAGTGAGTAGAAAATGTCTTAATAAAGAAAAAATTTTTAAGAATAAATAAATAAAACATCAAAAAAAAAAAAGACGGGGATGGATTTGAAATTTATATAAACTGTGTGTTCTGTACACCTAGAATGTTCTGTCCATTCAGTGCTTTTTAGGGCATTTTAGTAATCTGTTTGACAATCTTGATTGTAGCAGGAATCTTAAAGAGTCTTATTAATTAAGTCAAACCTGAGGCCAGTTATTGGGGTGAAATGCTGGATGGTCAGAGAGACAGAACAAGCCACAGCTAACCTCACCTAGCCAACTTCTCAGCTGGTCTTTTTTCCTCAGACTGGAAGCGTCTGTGTCCTCATATCCGAATGGCTCTCAGCTGAACTGTGCTGTTAGAAGCCTGAAAGCTTTACTAGCCAAATGCTTAACCAGCCAAATGCTTAACCAGGCCAAACACTTAATCAGGCCAAATGCTTCTAGTTTCTGTTCCTCACGCCTTATATACCTTTCTGCTTTCTACCACCACTCCCTGGGATTAAAGGCTCGCTCTCTGGGATTAAACTTGGTCCTGTCAGTTAACATCAATTAACAGCCTCTGAGTAGTCTTACCATGTTCTTAGGAAACGTAGCAGTCCAGCTCCATCCCTGCTACATGCTGCTGCGCTAGTACTGGCCAGTGTGATTACTTCTCAGACACTCTTGACCCTGGGCTGCTTCATTTATAACAACGGGCACTTTGTACTACAGACAGTCTCCTTGGCTTTAAGATCTAATTCTTAGAGGCTGGAGAGATGGTCCAGCATCTAAGACATAGACTCTTGCAGAGGACCTGTTCAGTTCCCAGCCCCAGTATCAGGAAGTTCACAGCTGCCTGTAACTTACCATAGAATCCAACACCTCTGTCCTCAAGACACACATGATTAAAAATAATAAAAATAAATCTTAAAAGAGATCTAATTTTTCATTTAACCATGTCCTTAACCCTTCCTTTCTTGGGGAGATGGTGCATTCAGCAAAGCCTGCTCTGCAAACATGAGGACCTCAGTTTGGATCCCCACAACCCATGCAAAAGCTGTCATCTACAGGCATCGGCACTGTGTGTGTGTGTGTGTGTGTGTGTGTGAAGAGATGGCTTACCAATTTAAAGCACTTGTTGCTCTTACAGGGCTTCTGAATTTGGTTCCCAGCACCAACATCAGGCACTTCATGATCTCTTGTAACTGCAGTTTCAGGAAAGCCTGGGGTACCTGCACAAATGTGATATCCATACACTCACACAGCACACATAATACAATACAATACAATACAATACAATAAATCTATCTCTGGATCTGGAGAGATGGGTCAGTGGTTAAGGGCATTGGCTACTCTTTCAGAGACCTGGGTTGAGGGTCCTGTGTGCAAACCACCCCACTCCATGGCTTGCAAACATCTGTAGCTCCAGTTCCAGTGATGCAATGCTGCCTCCTGACCTCTGGGCACTGCGTGCATGTGGTGCAGACATATATGCAGGCAAAATACTCATTCACAAAATAAAAATAAATCTTTAAAAAGGGGGGGGGGCTGGAGAGATGGCTCAACCATTAAGAGCACTGGTTACCTTTCCAAAAGTCTTGAGTTCAGTTCCCGGCAACCACATGGTGGCTCACAACCATCTATAGTGGGATCTGATGCTTCTGGCATAAAGGCAAGCATGCAGATAGAGCATTCATATACATAAAATAAATATTTTTTTTAAAAAAAGCTGAGTGTGATGGCACTAATTGTAACTGGGAAGGTGAAGAGAGATCCCTGGAGATCACAGTTTACTGCAATCTGTGAACTTCGGGATAATTGAGACCCTGTCTCAGAGGAGGAGGAGCTACAGAGACGGTTCAGTAGGTAAGAGCTGTGATAGCTGGTTTTGATCAACTTGACACAGAGTCTCCTGGGAAGAGGGAACCTCAATGGAGCAATTGTCTCTATCAGGCTGCCCTGTACGCATGTCTCTGGGGCATTTTCTTAACTAATGGTTAATGTGGCAAGGCTCAGCCCACTATGAATGGTACCACCCCTTGGCGGATGGCCTTGGGTTCTGTAAAAAAGCAAGCTAAGCGGGGTGGGGAGAGATGGAGAATGACTCAGTGGTTAAGAACATAACACTGCTCTTGCAGAAGTCCAGAGTTCCATTCCCAGCATCCACATCAGGTGGTCCAAAACTGCTTGTAACTCCAGCTCCAGGGGCATCCAACACCTCTGACCTCCGGTGGACTCGGGCACTCACATGCGCATACCCACATACAGACACACATTCACACAGATACACATGCAGGCAAAACACCAATGCACAGAAAATAAAAATTAGGTTCTATATATTAAAGAAGAAGAAGAAGAAGAAGAAGAAGAAGAAGAAGAAGAAGAAGAAGAAGAAGAAGAAGAAGAAGAAGAAGAAGAAAATTGAACTCAGGTCCCCTGCAAGACCAGAATGGCAAGTGCTCTGTTGCAGTTTGCTTTGTTGATCCTGTGATAAAAAGCTGACCAAAACCAATTTTGGGGAGGAAAGGATTTATTGACTTACATGTCAGTGTCATGGTAGACCATTGAGGAAAGTCAGGGCAGGAATTCAAAACAGAACCTGGAGATAAGAACTGAATCAGAGACTACAGGGGAATGACCACAGAGGAATTATTTTAAATTACATGAATGAAAGCCGGGTGTTGGTGATGCACACCTTTAATCCCAGCACTCGGGAGGCAGAAGCAAGCAGATCTCTGTGAGTTCGAGGCCAGCCTGGTCTACAAAGTGAGTTCCAAAACAGCCAGAGCTACACAGAGAATTCCTGCCTCAAAAAACAGGACAAATACAAAGCCCCAGAAAACAGAATTTTGGGACTTGGATGTAGCTCAGCGATTGAGGGCATTCTTAGCATGTGAGAGTTGTGAGTTCAATTCCCAATACCAAAAATAAAGTATTTTTGAGATGAGGAAACCATCTTGTATTTTCTGGGTAGGCCTAATATGATCATAAGATTGAAGGAGGAAAGGGAAGCATGAGACACTGTCTTTGAAAATACACAGCATTCATGAGCCAAGGTTTGCGGGCAGATATTAGAAACTGGATAAAAACAAAGGAAAGGAAAGGACTCTTCTAGAGCTTCCTGGATCATAGCCTTAGTATAGCTTGATTTTTTACTCCTTAGAATTCATCTCCGATCTCTGGCCTAGCTATGGTAGTAAATTTATGGCAAAGTCACTGTAATACTACTTTTTCCCCCTCCCCAATTTTAGGTTCTAGTATAGCAAATACCAGTAGATATAATCCATACAAATTAAAGGTCTTTGGAATTTTCAATAATTTTCTGAGGTCTTCTGTATAACCCATAGTGATCCTCCTGCCTCTACCAGCTGTAGGGCTGTTACTTTAGGTGTATTGCCCACCACCACCACCACCACCCCCACCCCCGCGCCAGCTCCTCAATAGAGCGTAAGAGCCCTGGGGACAAAACTGAACGACCTCTCTCTAAATGAGTCCTGTGCTTGTCTTCTTTTGGTATTTTGGACTTTTCCTTTCTTTTTCACCTTAGCTTTTGCTGTTTTTAAATTTTCTTTTTTAAGAGTCTTTACACAACCCATACTGGCTCACGGCAGCGACTGCAGTCCTCGCTATCGGCTAGCTGTACTGGAAGTAAGATCACTTGAGCCCCGGAGTTGCAAGTCACCTTGGGGATATGGGGAGACCTTGTTGCAAAAAGGAGGAGTTTAAGACAGAAGCGACTCCTGCAAGTTCTCCTCTAACCTCCATAAGCACGCGGTGGCATGCACGGACGGACCCAAACATACACGAACACAAAATAAATAATTAGAATGACTGCGCTTTAGGGTAAAACTTGGTACAAAGACACAGTCCAGACAGCTTGACCTTGGCCACGCCTGTTCCCCTTGGC